ATACTTAAAATGACGGTAGTTTTTTAATTTAATTATACTGGCCTACTCCTGCGAGGTCTGTATAAGACTAGATATTGTAACATCCTCATAAGTTTTAAAACCTAGTTAAGGCCTGCTTTGGTGATTCAATACAATACGAAATTCACTTAAATAATGATTAATGTATACAACAAAGCCTTGCGAAAGAAATTAAAGTTATTGTGTTCTAGTTTAACATAATGGTTTAATTATTATTTTTTTATGGATTCTGTTTAGGTAGGCCCACTTTGGGTTGTATTGTATCAACTAGTGATGCATTAGATTGGTGTAGACGAAAATATTAATATATATTATACCACCAATACATTTCACAAGCTTCCATGTCACCTTTACTATTAAATGTCTTGACCAACACATCATGGTAGACGAACTTAGTGTGTCTGAGGAATTACATTTTATTTTTTAACTTGTCCTGAGAAGAAACAATATGTAGATTTAGTTGTTGACCAGCATAATTCCTGTAAATTGTACACTGTCGATGAAACCTCTATTAGCAAGATGTCCGTCGACGAAACATCCTGCCATACAGCCTTTCTGAAACTATCTTACAAGAGTCCGAACATATTATTTACAAGAGACAAGAAAGTTAACAATACAAATAATTATCAAAACATTAACCGATTTATTTCCGAGAAGATACAACCACCGACTTTGCGTTGGAAATAAGATGTGCATGCATAATATCAAAAAATAATTTTGTGTGCCATGACTCATTGCTTCAAATACAAAAAACATTTTAAAAAAAACATCCAAGTGTATCTATAATTTAACCACAAATGTTCCACTTGTCACTGCCTCAATTTCAAGGCTAAGAAAATATATAGTCATCATTGCATTAACAACAACACTTCTTTTTATCACAGTTTTGTGTTTGTAGCTTAAAACACACTATTTATTCTATCAATCCTTTATACTTGCACTAAATTATATTAATTAACCATTCATGCTTTATTTATTTATTTATTTATTTCACTGCAACAGACCAACAGCGAATCATCGCCACTAACAGGCTGGTAAAATACATAAAATTTAAATATATCAAATATACAGACGAAAGAGTTCAAAAATCTCACCTATTCAAATGATTAATAATAATAGAACGAAATATAGACAAACTATTGTGAAAAATGTCAATACTAGAGGTTGAAATAAGAGAATTATATTGAAATGAAAGGCTAGAAATAAAACTACGTTTACAGACATCAACTCTACAAAAGGAGACATTAAAGGTAGGACAGGAACGAAGGCTTCAAGAATTAACATGCAAACCAAACAGACGTACAAGATCACAACTAAAATACGAGTTAACACATTTATAGAGAAAAATCATATCATGAAATAAAAATCTGTTCCTAGGACACATTAATTTACATGGGCGATTAAAACATTTTTCGAAAAAAACCTAATAAACTTAAGATGCATCCTATCGATGCGAATTAACTGCGATTTGGATGCAGAACTAAAAATAACAGCAATATTCAAAATGAGAAGTAACTAAATAACGATATAAGGCGATAATGGCACCAGGGCTATTTATTTCTCTGCAATGTCTTCAAATGGACCCAAGCATTCTGTTTCCCTTACGAATAACATGATCAATATGTTTACAAAATATAAGCTTACAGTCGATGAAGACACCCAGATCGCGAAGAACAGACACTTTTTCTAAAACAATATCCCCAATTTTATAAGGAAAATATAAAGGTTTTAATTTATGTGAAACAGACATTGATTTACATTTGGAGACATTGAGAGAAAGACCCCAGTGCCGACTCCATGCAACAACATCATTAAGATCTTCCTGAAGACCCCTGCATCACTCTCAGTCCCAGCAATACGATACAGCTTCAGATCATCAGCGTACATAAGGCAATGTGAACTATTGACAAAATAATGAAGATCATTACTGAATAAATTAAAAAATAAAGGACCAAGGATAGACCAGATGGAACGGGTTTGGATTTAGAATAAAAACCGTCAATAACCACACGTTGACTGCGATTAGATAAATAATCAGAAATTAAGCTAAAAAGGGGACCGGTGATACCAAATTTTTGAATTTTAAAAATAAGTTGAGAATGGGAAATGCAGTCAAAAGCTTCGGAAAAATCTGTCAATATAATGTCACATTGTAATTTAGAGTTGATTGCATTAAGTGCGGTGGGTAAAAAACTAGCAAGATTAGTTCGAGTTGACCTACCTGGAATAAACCCGTGTTGAAATATACTTAAAACAGGAGAAACATGGGAAAAAATGTGATCAAAAAGAATACGTTCAAATATTTTAGAAAGACACGGGAGCAGTGAAATGGCACGGTAATTGGTAATCTCATTACGGGGACCCCCCCCCCCCTTGAAAATGGGACAAATATTAGCTTGTTTCCAGACATCAGGAAACTTGCCCGTGGAAAGAGATAGATCAAATATTTTTTTAAGGGAACAGAAAGCGGAACAGAACCAGCTTTAAGCAAAGTAGTTACTGATACCATCACAGCCAACGGCCTTATGTACACAACGCTTACTTAGATGACCTGAAATTGCATCAGCACTGACGGTTACCGAGGAAAGATAGTCCAAGGGGTATTCGGGAAGATCAGGAGCTTCAGGGAATTGTGACTGCTGAGAAGATGTATTATTATTATTGTTATTGTTATTGTTATTGTTATTGTTATTATTATTATTATAATTAAAAAATGAATTGAAGTAGATACTAAAAGCATTAGCTTTTTTTCAAAGAGGTGCCATGGACTTGACCTTGATAATGGAGTAGTACAGAGGGCAAAGTTGATGACTTCCGTGTTGTTCTAATCCAAGTCCAAAATCTTTTAGGATTGATGTTCAGATCGTTTGAAAGAGCATCAACATACTGTCTGTACCGCTGATTACAAAGTTTTTTTTTAAATTTGTTCTGGCCATTCTAAAATCTTCAACAGCAAGTCGAGTTTTAGTTCTTTTCTTAATTTTAAATATTTTTTCCTTAAGTTTTAAAGCTTTGTATAATTCATGATTAAACCAAGGTGGGAGTTTTCTTTTTGGTTTAAACACAGGAACAAGATCTTTAATTGTTGCATGGAGTAAATCATAAAATAAAGAAGTGGCCTCATTAACATCATTAGTTAAATCAAGAATGTTCCAAGAAATACAATTTAAATTATTTACAAGGTCATTAAAATTATGTTTTCTAAAATGGTATAAAAGTCTATTATCATTACTATTGAAATTATCATAATTATTATTATTATTATTATTGCACTGAAATGTATAAAAAAAAAATAGACAAAGATTCATGATCAGATTTGAAAATATTCAATCCAGACGTAATACTAGAAGGGTCGAGATGTTTGCTACAAAGTACCAAGTCTAAAATCCTATTATTACATGTTATGGAAGTATTGCACTGATAAAAGCAATTACTATTTAATACTGTGTCAATAAAAAGCTGACTCATATTATCTAATCTATCATTGTTATTGATGGTGTGAAGGCCAGATGAGTCCCAGCCAAGAGCTGGAAGATTGAAAATCCCAAGTATTATCACATCATCTCCAATACTGTTGGGATACTGGTATAATGCTGTTTCGACTGAATGTGCAAGCTGATTGATGAATTGCACACTCTGACCGGGTGGCCTATAATATACCCCAAGTAGTAACTTCTTTGTGTTTGGAAAATACAATTTCTACCCACATAAGTTCTTGGTTGTTTTCCATGTCGCTAATATGGGAAGACTTAAATTTATTATGCACTGACAACAACAAACCACCGCCTCTCCTTCCTTCACCTCTATCTCTCCTGAACATGGATAAATTAGCAAGGGATACTTCAGCATCAGTAACAGTTTCATTTAACCATGTTTCACACATGGCAACAATATCAATTGTATCTGCCAGTAAATGTACTCGTAGTTCACTATAAAATGTTTCCATCTTATTTTTCAAGCTCCGAATGTTAGGTAGTAAGTGTGAATTTCACGGGCGCTGTCTACTTGAGGTCCAGGGTTAGGTTGGACATCACCTGACATACTAGCACCTGGGCGTGGAATGTTGCTTGAGAATTACTATAGTATAATGCTAGCCTGCCCACAAAGTACCTTTTTTAATACTAATCATGTTGTGGTACAAGACTATCACACATAATCTAGGCCTAGACACCGCATAATAGTATGTAGTCAATAGACTGCAAGGTGTGATCAACAGATTAGTGTGGCCAGGTACATACCATGAACAATAGACATCAGAGGGGCTGCCTAGGCCTAGCTGCAAAGGTGTACTATAGCAAGTTCAGCATTAAATATCTTGAAATTACATGAAGAATAATATTCAGGAATACCATAGCAATCATAATCTTCATTGGAACAATGCAAAACATGTAACATCAATACAAAAACAGTCAATTTATAACTAAAGCACTTCACAGCCATCATGATTGATTGACCTCGAATTGACGTTTTTCCCATTCCTTCACCTTGGAAAAGTAATGTTATCTGAGAAATTGATGAAGACTGCGTCTAATGTCAATTGGCATTGGGTTTCGTCATGTATTTTTATAGCACCTTTCATATTAAAAACCGTCTCAAGATGCTTAGTCTTTTTTCAGTGTTCCTTTGTGATATCGATATCTTTTAAAGTTTAACACTAGTCAGATATCTTCTTTTTCCATTACGTCTTCTTAGAAGTCAATTAGTCTCCGTAAATAAACTTTTCTGGTACAATTTACAGTGAACTTACAGGTCCCCCCCCCCAATTAAAGACCAATTTGGGTACCTGGATTTTCATGTTCTTTAGTAGCTAATTTAAGTCTCTAATGTAATAATAAAGATAACATGTATTTGTAAATTTTGAACCGAGGGGTCTTTAACAGAGGGAGACTTGTATCTTCAATAAGTTGGCTAATGGTTTTTCTACGTTATCGTTTGCCTTCATATACGAATACATTAATAGTTTTTTTTTTCTGTTTAATTAGCAAATATTATACCAAATGTCACTACCACTATGTCGCAGACTATCACCCAAGACGGTATTACAGTCACTGAAATTTTGACATCCGATTGGACGGCCATTGAGGAGGAGTATGAGGACATATCTAACAGCAGTACTATGGAGGAAGGCATTATAGATTCTACATTATTAGCAACTTCAGGCAGTTTTCATCAGCATTCCAAAACCGGGAACAACACAAATATTAATACAACACTGCCCTCTAACGGTACACCGTCTCAAACAGTAACCTCATTAAGTAGTAGTAGCGAATCAATGAGTACGGGAATCGTTAGTAGTACAGAGCAAAATAGTATAGCCACAATAAAAAACACAACAATCGTGTTTAATTTTACATTACCGCCCTCAACGGCTGAACCAGTTCCAAAAGTAAACATAAAAGCAGACAATATAACATCAAGAAATTCGACGGAAAACAACGATCCTGAAAGCGGCACTGTAAACACAACTGACACTGATATTGAAAATAAAGACAAAGGTAAATTTGTTAAATGTGTGGTTATCTATCTAACATTCATTGTTTTTTTTTTTTTTTTTTTTTTTTTTTTTTTTTTTTTTTTTTTTTTTTTAGTTTTATGATATTTAACCACATCTATATGAACATTTGTGATACCATGATCTTTACTATTCTTGCAATACTTGATTCTTGCAATACTTTTTAATAATAAATTTAACGTAATGATTATTTTTCAAATTATCTAACTAATGCAGGCGAAGTTATTTGCGTTGTTAATGGTCGACGTCACTGTAACAACGCGACTTTGCTCGCGCTTTTGTAGGCTGCATAAACAGTGTCGCGCCGAGTAGTTAGATGATTTGAAAAAAAAAAAAAAAAAAAAATCTTACGTTAAATTTAAATTTATTATTGAAGAGTATGGCAAAAATCGTTATTTTTAACAATAATTTAAACAAATGTCAAAAGAAACTTGTCTAAACAGATGCGTCATTTAGGCCCTCCAACATGGCGTCGGTGGCCTCACTTTTTTCTGTACACGGATTGGCCGATGAGCAATCCAGCTATTTATAGTAGAGATCAGTGGTCCGAGTATGTTTTAACTCTGTCGTCTTGTGGGACCTTAGCAACAATATCCAAGGGGCGGGACTTAGCGAAAAGGTCCATTGAATTAAATTCACATCATAGATTACGCATATTGTCAAAGAGTATAAATAGAACAAGAGAGCCAACAACGCTCATTGAGAGCGTAAAAAAACGATAAGCTCTACGCAGCTAGAGCCGTAGATAGAGAGAGAGTTTGGCCAACTCGGTTTCAATCACGTGACTTACACCGGCCATGTTGTCACCAAAACAAAACGACGCGATAGGGTAGGAAGTTAGCAGAAATTATAGATGATTAATGCTAAATAATGTGAAATACCGTTATGTTGGGTTTGGGGTTGCTGCAATCGATCCAACAAAGAAACAAAAATGTATTAATTTCCTTAAATTCCAAAAAGGAGGAGGATTTGGGATTTTATTTTAACTTTGCATGGCATCGAAAAATATCGCTATCCACGTAGTAAATTAATATAAGGCATGTACCGCCCGCCCCACTTCGCGGTAATATATATCCACCTACTACTACTAGGCCTAGACAGGCCTAATTTCGGTACTTCTTCGGCCGAACACCTTAAGGTAGTACTTAAATCAGCTTAATTACGATGGAAAAAAAAGGAAGAATTTTCAAGCAGCAATGATTTATAAAAAGATGCAATGTTGCACTTTGCTGTTAAATTATATAACTAAATTTCCAGAAAGCTACATGAAGTATCAGTCAAAGGTAGCTTAAATTATAATTAAAAATAAAAATTGAATCCTCCAATAAAAGCGAAAACTTGTCCAAGGAGTCCTGTGCTATGCAAACATGCCCAATTGTGCTTTACAAATCAATTAATTGTGCAACTAAAAGATTTTAAAGATAAAAATATATTAAAGATATAGGCCTAATTGTGTTATAATATATTGATTGTTTTAATACATATTTTAAATCAAAACGTTTAAATGTTTTAGAAATTACAAATCAAAATTTCAATGAATAGTAAATAATGAATAATAAATAATAAATAATAATAATAATAATAATAATAATAAATAATACAGTAATAATGATAATATTATAACTCACTAATATTATAAACAGAAGTGTGGAGAATGCTGCTATTTTACTTACAAGGCCTAGCTTCTTGATTATGAGTGATTAGGCATATGTTATACAAAAAATTCTCTCAATGCAATAACTGTCTCTTATACACATCTAGATGTGTATAAGAGACAGACATCACATCATGACCAAATATAGGCACATCATGACT